TTGGTTGTATCAGTTCTTCTGGATTTGTACCCAGAGTTGTAAAAATCTCTTCCTCATCTTCGAACCATCTTTCCGGACAATTGTTGTTGCTAATGGCATCAGAACCGAACCTTGGTCGTCTCTCGTCTCTGCCTCTTCCTCTTAACCATGGCTCTGATACCAAGTTGTTATGAGCCGTAGCTTCCTTAGCCTTAACTCTGAATACTTAGAATCCGTGATGCTTAAGAAAGATTGATTTAGCGAAAGCTTCCCTTACCCCTAGTCTCTTCTTGAGAATAAGGGTAATGTTTGGAAGATGATTTTATTGATGTTTTGAGAACCCTTTTATAAGCCTCAGACAACCGACTAAAAATGAAACAATTAAGTAAAAATACCAAAACCTTAGTTTAATAAGAAAAGGAAACTCTAGATAAGATGCTTCTCATGCTTTAGTCTTTCTACGATGATATGTAATGCCATATCTCGTATCAATAGTCAACGAAAGCAACCCAATTGGATTGATGATACATTGTGGAAGGAAATGTGTGGGTATTGAAACATAGAAGAAGCCATATCAAAGAGTGCAACCACATCAACAACTCAAATGTCTGACCATAATGGTCTTGGTCCTCACAAGAAAATATCAGGTCTTACATACAAGTCGACCAAGAGATGGTAAGTTACATAAGGACTTCTAATTTATTTTCTTTAGTTACATATGTATCCTTTATCATTGACCTTATCATTGTTTATCATTTCGGAGAGTTGAAATTGGAAGATCGCCTACTATTGGTGAACTTTTCATCATGACCCATACCAAAAGAAATGGAACTTTTTTCGATAGGAAAGCTGAAGAAATTCATGAAGAATATTATAAAAGCAAGGAGCTAATTTGGTTGCTGTTGAGAATGACGAGTCATATGATGGTACTTCGCGTCGATCACATCTATCTCAGAAGGAGGATGATGATTTATTTCTTCAGGTAATGTGCTGATTTATTTTTGCTTTTTGTGATATTATTGTTTTCAAAAACTGTTAAGGACTAATAATCTTTGTTATATTCATGTAGTCAACTGTCACGAATGAGAAAGGGAAATACTTCGAAGTAGGAATCCTAGGGGATTAATGTCATCCAGCCTGCAAACACAGCTTAGGGAAGCTACCCGCAAAATAGAGGAACAAGTACCTCTAAAAGTAGAGTCTTTGCGGGTTGCAGCTTAGCACTAAGCAAAGATAAAACACTTAACCATCGTGAAGTACTTGGCGAAATTGACCTAAGGTTTCTCGCCTTTCTCGAGTCTTAATATACTAATCCTTCCTGAAGCTCAAACATAGGTCTATTAAACTTCCCCTCCTTCTTTGAACTTGAAAACTTGTGTGTTGGTTTCGTTTTACTTTTGAAATTATGAACTTGAACATGTGTGTTTCTTTTTGGTTTGGAACTTATCAACAAATATGTTTGTTATAATTTATTTTTTAAATACAAGTTTGTTATGTTTTAAGTTTAAATTTGTTAAAGAATTAGAGCAGGGTAAATCGAGAATTACAAAAATAATCGAGAATTATAAAGCTAATGAGTCACAAAGTAGTAGAAATTCAGTCACCAAAAAAATCACAACATAGTCGACAAATAGATGCATAGATGTCACATAACACTCGCTAAATTAGTCAAAAAAAATCCACAAGGTAGTGGCAAAAATGTCACGAAACAGTCGTTAACTTACCGACTACTTTGCGAGGTAGTGACTGTGTTGGTCGCAAAACAATCGCTACTTAGTGACTGTGTTGTCCCTGGCTGCACACCCACAGCCCCTAGCTGCACATATGTAGCCTCGGTGGTCCCACTGGAGCATGCATTAGTACCGCACCCGGTCAAACATTTGAGTTAGCAAATCCGCAAGGTGATCATTCTGACCCTGGTGAAACACCCCCAACCGGGTTCCCAGCCAAACCTCCACCGCCTCCAGCCAAACTGACCCCCACGACACTAACCCTAGCATCGTCTAAAGATCCGTCCTGAAAAGCTTGAGAACCGCCAACATGCTCGGTCGTGCTAAGACCGAAACTCTTGTCGCTGCACGAGGCAACACCCCGCCCCCTACCGCGACCACGCCCATGGCCATGACCACGACCCCGACCACCAGCAGCTCCACCTATCACCATCTACACTACAAAACCGAAGGCTAAGAACATAAGACCAAACACACCATAACACACATAACTTATTGTGGAATCTCATTGAAGGCTTGAAAGAATGATCTAGCACTCCTTGCCCACACAATTATTTGACTAACTATTCACAATCATTCCAGGCATACAACAATTCAAACATCAATCTCAAACAATGAAATTCACAAACCATCCATTTAACCCAGCCCAAGAACCGTTAGGGCTCTGATGCCAAATTAGAAAGACCCAAACTGTTTTTTATTTTATATAATTAATTAGCCCATTGATGATCACATACTTACTAACTAGCATACCAAATCAAGTTAAACCGGATAAGACTAAATTTAAACCAATTAAACTTGATTAAATCAAATTAAACCAACTAAACAAGATTAAACAACATTAAACCAGTGGAAGACAACCGGAATTAATTCAACAAATTCCATAACATAAACCAGCAATTTTTCAAACAATCCAACAATCCTAACACGCTTTTAAATTACGGAATCTAACACCCTAACAATGCCATTACAAAACCATAATTACCAACGAGTGCCTAGATCATTCTTCTCTCACTGCCTTGATTCCACGGTCAAACTTTGCTTTTACCTACATCACAAAAAATAGGTGCATAAGTATTTCCAAAAATACTAAGTGAGTCAATCATCCCATTAACTGAGGTATGCATACAAACGGTAACAATCACATTCAGGTAACTCAAAAACACAAATAACAAAAACCAACAAACTCAGCCGCCTACTGATGACTGGTGTCGATAGACACCATCTTGGTGTTTGTCAACACTCGCACAAAAGACTCCAAAATGATGAGTGGTGTCGATCGATACCCACCATTGCTGTCGATTGATATCCAACACTAGTGTCGATCGTCACACGCGACCATCCTCGTGACTCAAATCATTGGTGTCAATGGACACCCACCACTTGTGTCGATCAAGACTGATGCTCTGGACATCACTCCAGTCGCTTCTCCTCGACTGATATCTATTTTCTTGTACTCAAGGAACGATGATGGCTCTCCACACCATCTTGGTGTTGGTCAACACTCGCACACAAGACTCCAAAATGATGAGTGGTGTCGATCGATACCCACCATTGCTGTCGATTGATACCCAACACTAGTGTCGATCGTCACATGCAACCATCCTCGTGACACAAATCATTGGTGTCAATCGACACCCACCACTTGTGTCGATCAGGACTGATGCTCTGGACATCACTCCAGTCGCTTCTCCTCGACTGATATCTATTTTCTTGCACTCAAGGAACGATGATGGCTCTCCAGAAGGTCAGACAGAGGCACCAAGGCATAGAATCAACCAAATAATCATGAAATCACCCAAAAAAGGTCAACCCGCTTAGATAAACCGTAATTATGCACTCACCTCTTGATTGGAATTAAACGGATGACAAAAATAGGAGTCAGGACTTCTTAACACAACAGCCACGAAACACTCCTCCTCTAGGGTAGAACTCCCAAGAACAAGCCACATAACACTCAAAAAACCCTTTGAAAATGCTCTTAGGATCAAACTATCACCCTCTACTATTTTCTTTCAACTCCCACGAAGCGAAAAACTCTAAAAAATGAAAGGAAAGACGATTGCTCGAGTCTAAGTCAACCTAAGTTTCTCCCATATTGATCTAAACATACGATTTAAAAATTAAACCGTCCAACCCAATTTTCTTGGTGTCAATTGACTCCCAGCCTTGGTCGATTGACACTCCCGCACTTGGGATAATACTCATATATGTTTTTCTGTTGTGGTGTAGGTAAGGATAAGATGTGATCGTGGAACCGTGGCGATGAAGAAGAGGATGATCTATGATCAAGTTATTGGTGTTTTTGACTGTTGTTATTTTTTGTTATTCTATTTTTCATAAGGTGTGTAGGTGATGAAAGATGTCTTGGATTGTCCTCAGCCAAGACTTGGAAACCATTGAGACCTCGGGAAGCAGAAAAGGATTGGGCATTTTATGTTTGGTTCAAATGGGTTGTCCCAAAGCAAGTTTTCTATATGTCGGTAAGTCACCTTGATAGATGGCTCACACAGCAAAGGCTTGTTTTTTGGGACAGATTCAGTTTTCAGAGTGTTGTCTATGCTTGTTTGTTTCAGATATCTCGAGGCCATCTCTTCCTAACTTTTGATTTTTTCCCAGCTTTGGATGTTGGTCTTTTCTAGGCTATCCCCTCAACAGTGACTTTTCTCCTCCTGGTAGGAGCTGCCCTCTTGGATTCGACTCTCTTCTCTAACAGGTCTTCCTCTCCTTCAAAAGCTAGCATCTTAAATGATAGTCTGCAGCATTTGGCGATAGCGCAACAACTTCTTGCATAACTCCGAGCATTTGTCTCGTCAAGTTGATTGACCACGAAATTTGCAATATCATATCGCCAAGAAGACTAAAGAAGCGTTGGCGTAGGCTAATACTTTTATGGATTTATTAACCCAAATATTGCTTAATATATTGTAGGTTTATTTTTGTTGTTTTTTTTTTTGTCTTGGTTAGTCTCTTGTAGGTTATTTTTTTTGTAAAACTTTAACTTTCAATTTAATGATATTTACGTATTTAGCACACACAAAAAAGATGAATGATGATGTGGCGGATGATATGGCGTAAGGAGAAGAGAGAAGAAGGGTTTGTGTAAAATTCTACGGTGGATCGATTAATCAAAAAATAAATGGCCTTCTTTATATTGGTTATAAATGAAACCAACATGTTTGGGTATATACGGGTTTTAGAATTTTATTTTCTATATATAGAAACTTATTTTCAGATTTTCTTGGGTATAAATACGTATAACTACAATAAATTATAAGGATGGATAAATGATAAATGTAAATGATACAAATATTGGAGCTATTGTTGTTCTTTAGACAAACTAAATACCTTCTAACAACAACATAAATAAAGACATAATTAACAAAAAAGAGTTGTCAACAGATATGGTGTGTCCTCTTGGAGCTAGCTAGTAATGAGCCTAATAAACATGATAATATTGCTGACCTTCGAAATCATAAACCCGTTTGCAATATTAAGGGTTTATACAAAATATTAAGCTACTAAATGTATTTAGCCCTTATATATGGTTTTGACTTTTGAGCTAACCGCACTATGGCGATCCAATATCTGACATTGGTGGTGTTGCTCTGATCATGAGGCTTTGGATGAAAGCTATAGTCTACAAAAGAAAATATAATACCGACATGTCATTTTCTTTCGTAGTAATCGAACAAACCAATATGTAATTGATATAATTGGGAGAACGATTTAAAACAAAATTATAGTATATGTTTTACATACAGTGTCATTTTAAGTACATACAGTGTCATTTCATCTCTGCAACAACACTCTCCCAAATATGCAGATGGCTTTCAAGTTTGGTTTAGCACTCGTTCTTAGTTAATTTTTAAAAAACTGTTGTTTAATTTCTTTCAAAACAAGGATGCATCTGATGTAAAAAGGACTTTTTTTGGGCTGAATATATTTTTACTTTCTTTCAAAAAAAAATAAGTATCATATTTGATTCAAGAAAACAGTTATTTACCTGGAAAATAATATTATTTGTTATTTTTTAAAAATCCGACTATATATTTAACTATTTATAAAGTTTCTATCCTCGACTATTTTTAAAGATTAAAAATACAATAGTTTCTTTATTTATCTATCGACTAAATAGCATGCACTAATATATGTAAACATAACAAATGACGTTATATTTGAACGTTTATGTTTTAATAACACCTAAAAATGCAACATCATTTAGAAGTGTGGGTTAAGAGAGCTAATGGTTATTTCAATTATGTTAACATTCACTAGACGGTGTAAAATACAGAAATTATAACAAATCTGGATATTAAACTGAGCTAAATATTTTGTTTGTGTACTTAATCAAAAGTTTTAAAAAATTTCATGTGATAAGATATTAAGTTTCCATTTTGTATCAACTGACACATTTTATTTGTGAAATAGAGAAGAATATCAAATCTAAAATCATAACGGTCAATGCTTGGTTAAACCAAATATGAATTTGTCTATTACCATGGATACTAACTTTATTAAACTTCAATTGAAAATGCAAAAAGGTGAAGTATATTATTACCATGGTAACTCCCGCACACATTATACTGAAACCTGGGAAATTAAATGGGGCACTCTCCGACAGAAACCAATCTAGACAAAGGCAAAATGTACTTGTGTTAGTAGGAAGTGTTTGCAATTTTATTTCATAGATTTTAGTAAATAAAATTAACAAAAAAAGTTTCTAATGAAACCTGTTAAAGGTGAAAATGCCAGTGGGGAAATGACATTTGCAAGGGAACATATACTTGAAATAATCCCTTGGGCTTTTCCCTGAATAAAGTTAACAAATATTAGAGTAGACTAATGTCCCAACCAATTCGAACCGGCTCGGTTTTATATAAATACCAACTGAATTGGTTTAACTACTATAAATTAAATCATCCTTTTCTAAAATTGTGTTTTGTGTCCTCTTCTCCATAGTTATTTTATATATCTAAACACTTTCTCATGTAAGCCACTAATCTTCTATAATCTTATACTTTGGTATCATCTTCGGCATTGTTATTTCATATATCCTAACACTATATCTTGCTGTTCCTATGAAATTTATAGTACAACTACTTATGGTTTAAAATTAATTATTGTATAGGAAATTTAAGTTACCTGTTCATTTGATGCTACTTGTTTGGAGACAATGCTCCTCATCTGTAAAGTTGAATTACTGGATTATAATAATTTATATTTAAATTCAAAATTCGTCAAAAAAAAGTTATATCTACGATGAAAACTTACACATGATTGCGGAAATATAGAGAAAAGTGCAAATATGGCTGCTATATATGGAACCTGCATAGAAATTTTAATTTTTGTTTGGCCAATAAAATCAATCTCACAAATCTATCTTAACATTTTTGAAGTACATTTTGTATTAAAATCTATTTTGGGTTATAACCTTTTATTTTGTAATATTTGCATAATCAAACCCTTGCCATTTGAATAAATAACAAAACTTAAAGTAAATTTTGTAATTAAATCACAAGTAAATCTCAAAATTGGAAACAAATATTTATTACATCAAAACATTTTCCTAAAATATCTCTCTAATAACTTGAATCTCTCTCCAATATATTTATATAATCTTATTTATTTTTCAATTTATATTATTACATAAAAGGTATTTATAATAAAAATACAAATTTTTTTTCACACATTTTGCAATTAAAATTTTAGAAAACGGATGTATATAACTGAATTGATAAAGGGAAAATGTTTATATAAGAGTTCAAAACCATTATAAATATGAATAATATGTTTCCAGCTACAAATGAGCATGAAATTTGGTTTCTTAGGCATCCAAATTAAAAAATTTATTCTATATAATCCGGTTATATATTTAAGAAAAATAATTTTTTAAAAAGTTTCAAAATATTATAAATTTTAATTTCTTAGAAAGGTTTAAAATATTATAGAAACTCTTACTAATGCTCTAATGTTATAACACTTAATTTAAAGTATAATTAATATTTTAACTCTAAATTTTTTAAAATATAATAATATTGTACATTAATATGATTGGATGGATTTGAGTTTACATACATAGGATTCTATTTTTCTTGCGGGTTGTCTATAATAAAATATTTTTAAGGGTTAAGTTAAAATATAATTTGTTTTACAGCAAAATTATTCCGCGGTGTAACGCGAGTTGACAACATATATCTATGAATCTACTTATAATACAAATTCATAAAATTATGTAAAATTAAATGAAATAAACACGTATGTATAAAATTAGACTATAAAAACCAACTACCAAAATCTGACCAACCAAATAAATATATTAAATTATGTACCCGTGGTGTACCACGGGGTAGATCCTAGTTATCTACATTAAGGAGGCAATTCTCATATTCAAATGATATAGTAATTAAAGAAAATAAACTATCCAATAAATAAACAAAAATGTAAAGTTTCTTTACCCATGATGACCATGCCACACAGAGGAGGAACATCTGTACAATTGGAGAATTGAAACATATAAGAAAGAAGTCTACAAAGTTGGTCAAAATCAAAGCTCATACTCTATCTCGTTTAGCTAGAACTTGATTTGAGGATATTGATTTTATATAGTTTTTTATTTATTTTATTAAATTACACAACTAATTATGTATTTAATATTATTAGCTGGAACAAACCACATAAGCTTACATGGGCAGCAGCAAAGAAAAGACCAATTGAGAGAAGTCTCTCCTCTTTTAAAGCTGGAACTAGTATAGGCATGAAGAGCAACTGTGAAATAAACTTTGTTTGTAAGTTAAATAATGTGTATTCTCAACCAATGTAAACATATTAGTTGTTATATCTAACCTGTGAAATAGACCCGGCTGTGCCAAATATGATCATCAAGTCAGCAAACTGGTCTTTGTTAAAGTGAAACTTTGCCTTTAAATAATACTGCAGGAAACAATCAAAACAATATTTATTTTCCCATAAATATACAGTTTTGAGGAATGCACAATTTAATATAATTTTTAAAAATACTAATCATAGTCATACAATAACTATCAATCAAATTATGAATGAAAAGTATGTTTTCATATATTTATGTTGTACATTAATTATACAATAGTTATATAGTTAAAGCGTACCACAGATGAAGCATGTAGACCTGCCTCACCAAGACTACTAAAGAAGGATACCATCGCAACTTGAAATAGTGGAACGCTGAAAAAAAAGAAACTAAGTTAAAGACATCAATGTAATTTTTGTCTTAAATTATTAGTCTTTTTCACTAATCATGTATCTTCTACCCTCTCAATTTGTAAGTAAAAATCAAAATTTAGGAATATGTAAACTCACCTCCTTCTCATTAGAGATGCCATTTCACGTACCAAACGAACTGATCTAGATATTTTGTTTCTATATCCGGGACAGTCTTCAAGTAAAGGAGAATTCAGCTTCTCATTTGAAACAATGGAAGCCCTTAGAGTATTGTCTGGGATAGATTCCGGTAGGAAAAGTCTCATGTATATTGTTGATAAAATTGCCATTGTTGCTGCGACCTAACGAGCAGAAAACTTAAGGGTTTAGATAACAATTATTCACTAATATAATTAGACAAAACAATGTATACATCTCTAAGTAGATATAGTTACTTGAAATGTGGTTGCAATAGATAAAAATCGAGCGCATAGAGTGGCGCAGACAAATGCACAAGATGCAATCCCTGTAAGTATTCCGAACGATGAGGCTCGTTGTCCTTCTGATACATTGTCAGCCTGAAAGTTCGTCCAAAAACTTGTAAACATTGTTGGAGTTCCCTAAGGATTTCACTTATTCAATATTAATATTTTGACATTTTCACTGGATTTATTTGAAAATAAAACAAAACTTGATTCTGTTTTATTTACATTCTCGAATAAATTTAACAGAGAAAAATTAGATACTTTAAATGTGAAAATTTTCTATTAAAATCCTAAAAAATAATTAGCATGAATGATAATGAATAATAAAGAGGTTGCTGCATTATTTCTTTATATTTTAGTTGCATTTACAACTTTACTATAGTAGATTTTTTTGGCTCTTCTAATAACATTAAAATAAAATTGTCTTCAGAAACCTACACCAATAAAATCTCTATAACTATTTTAATTTTTGTGGTTATAGTAAACAAAATCCCTATAGCCACGAATATTAAAGCTCAACCACGGAAATTCAATTATGGCTATAGGGATATTATTTACTAGCAATTCCTCTGTACTACCGTTTTTTTTTTACTTCTTTTGTTTAATAAATACGAGGTTTTAGGGTGAACTCACACATCTCATATCCGAAACCAGACAATGTTATGTGGTATCGTCTCAGACGCTATTTAAACCGGCGATTAAATTTTTGCCGAATTTTTTTACTAATTGAACTATTAACACTTGCTTTTTTCTTATTCTTTCTTTTATGAATTTTCTGCGGCTTTAAACATTCGATGGTGACGACCCAAAAAAAAAGAGAAAAAAGCAAAAGAAGGATGGTAAAGGGCATCATACCACGTAAGCAAGGGCAAGACAAAGAACACTTCCTTCACAAATTATCGAAGTAAAAGTCTTGAGTACATAGTAGACGTAAAAAATGGTCGTCCCTCTACTATATGCCATTGTCGCTGTAAGTACCAATCATTACTGTTTTCATTAATATAATACTTCAATAAAATGTTACAATATTTGAACTTATACAAATATTTGACTTTAAACAATAAATATTTGTCTTCTTCTTTTAATAACTATGATGTTTTGAACCGAAACCCATACATCCCCGAAACAAAAGTATGTTATATGGTATCAAGTGTAACTCAAACCTAGACTTCTAGATTTTTGCGAAAGATCTTTACTAATTGAGCTATTAATACTATTTGGTAACAATAATATTTGAATAATACATGCGAAGTAAAAACTACTTAATTTCAACAATTTTAAATAGTTATTCGCAATTTGCCTTCAAATTTTAAAGCAAATAAAAGTAAGTGAAATTAAACATACATTAGAGGAAGCTTTTGCTTTCAAGCAAGGAATAATATTAGACGTGGATTAAAAGATTATGCAAAGGTCAAAGTAGGGACCATGAGTGAAAACATACCAAGAGGCAAAATGTTGAGTGTCATTGGAAGAGTAAGTAAACATTTTCTCCCATGCTTGTCCGACAAGCTTCCCACCAATGGCATCATCATCAACGATCCCACACCCGTGATCTTAATAATAACCATATATATACAGAGAAATTAGACTCTTTCTCGTTTTAAATATACGATATTATATTTTGCTACAAAATAAGAAAGAAACAAATTATTATACGTAAAAAAGCACGTATTATTCTTTGAATCAAATGTAAGATTTATTTAATAAAAAAGTTCTTATAACAAGTGTAAACTTTGTTCAAAAAAAGAAAAAAAAAAGTGTAACATAATAAGCTAAAATTTTAAATGCTATTAATCATAGCCTATTATGAACGTTTTTACAATTTTTTGTAATTTTTTAAAACTTAATAACACATAAATGTTTGTGTTTTAGTAAATCAAGGATTAGGAATATTGAGAAAAATGTTTAGTTGTTGATAATACGTACAATTTGTTGAAGGCCGGAGAGGTAAATGACGAGAGAACACTCATCTTTACCGGGACATAGAGCCGCCATGCTGACGTCTGTCATCACCGGCGTAACGATGAATGCCGAGAAGCAGTACAAGAATATCGTCACGAAGAGGTGTGCTAGTCCCTGAAATGTAGTCGTTTCTTCCATTGTAAAGAGAAGTGTTTTAAGTAAGCAAGTGAAGAACAAGTGTTAGAAGATAAACAAAACATGAGAAGGTTTTATGTAAAAGGATGAGTAAAGAAGTGTTGCTTCTTATAGTTACTTCTCGTTGGAGTATAAGCAAAGGCAACGAATCACATCTTGCTTAAAATGATATTTTAGAAAAATTGTGGACTCAAGAGTTAATTCATACAATTGGAGAACCAAATAGATATAAATATTTATCAGGATTTATAGATTCATAAATATAGTTCCTTAACTTGATTGGAAATCATATATATAAAAGTAAGGTTCCACTCTCTCCTTATTGGTGGAAAAATATTTAAGGCTTTAATTAAAAAAAATTAAAAAAAATAAATGTTTATGACAATCATTCAATACAAAATTTAATTACACTATAAGTTATAATCAAATGGCAAAGAAAATGAAAGGACTTAATCATATATCATTCAACAAAATAAATAAATAAATAAATGTTTATGACAATCATTCAATACAAAATTTAATTACACTATAAGTTATAATCAAATAGCAAAGAAAATGAAAGGACTTAATCATATATCATACAACAAATTTTATAAGCCTTATGGGTGGAAAATTATTTAAAATCATATATATATAATATATATATTCTCAATTGTTCCTCTCTCTTTATTGTTCCATTTTGTATTTATTTTTAACCAAAAAAAAACACATTTAATTATATACATTAATTCATACTTTAAGTTCACACTTTACTACTAAAATGAAACTGAAAATTATATAAATAGACTATTGGTTTTCTTTATTGAATTCCAATTAAACACACTATAAATTATAATTATAACTCCTCTAATTTAATTATTTAAAAAATGTAACTTACATCACTTCTTATCATATAAATAGCTATTCTAACATCCTTCTCTACCATATCTCATATCTTCATTATTCTCTTTGTTTTTTTTTTTAAAGTTCTTGTATGGGGTGAAAACTCATTTAAAATATCATTGTAAGAGTTTGATTAATTATTTTTTGTTTT